CCGTGTGAAAATTGAAGGGAAGTTCGTTTTCCGTAATTTATGTACTAATAGAACAAAAAGTTTTCCGGTGATCATAGTTTGTAGAGATCGTCATGCCCATTCCGATTTTACGAAAGCTTCAGAATATTGTAGCTTTTCGAATGCACTTTTAGGTTATTTTGTGATGAATGTAATAATATCAGAACAACATAGTAATATCAGAACCAACAAGGTATGAGATGTTCGGATACGTTCATTTGCTCTTTTCAAACCCAAAAAAAAACCGCAAAACGAGAATTTGAAAAAAAATGTACGCACCCTTTGAAATAGTAATCGGCCGATTTTAGGTAATAATGTGATTTCCCCGCCGTGGTCTACTGCCTCATCGTGACACGGGGTGACTCTGGGTTTCGAACGCGAAGTACAGCGGAGCTTTATCCTCCAGCGGGGCCTCCCAAGCTGAGAAGGAGTTCATCGCTTCTGGCTCCCTGGATGCTGAGCTAAAAGTAGATCATGCCAGAAGCACCACCGTCTGGCTGATTCGGTCGTTAGGTGGTTCTCTGATCCATATAGGTCAGCGATAGCCTGTGGTGAAAGCTTGACAAGCCCTAGCAAGGCTGCTAAGCTTGGAGATTTATTTTATCGCTTGTACAGCACATTTGGTTCAGTGTTGTTTCTGTGTACTGCAATGTAACCTGTTAAACATTGTTTATCGAATGTCGTATCATTAAATTGTGTCCCCCATTCTAGGAAAAAATATATTGCAACATGTATGTTAGCCATATGACTAATTATACACAGTATGGTATAGATTTATTCTCACTACTAAAATGTTTATCGATTTATTAGCAGTTCAGCAGGGCCTGTATGGAAACTGATATCTAATGTCATTTGCAATGCAAGCTGAGCTCAGACGGGACTGCCCGCTGATCTCACTAAGCGGAGCAAAAAAACCAAGGCCCGTACTAAAGTTCCCGCCAGGTGAGATAATCTGATCTAAAGGGCTAGTCCAACTCCACCAAGTTCACATGATCCCGATCCTTCCGCCATAGTGTATGGATGTAAGGTTCGCGGACGGATCACGGTCGTGCAGGTTCTGCGCTGAGATGAACTGAGCCCCTAAGAAGAGAGTTCCCCTGACGGATCGTACAAGGAAAATGGTGTGTGTTTTATGAGAGTCCGCCAGGGAAACTCGTAAGTTGCTAGAAATCAACTTACGAGCTCCCCTAATGAGGTGTACTTTTGTCAAGTGGAGCATCGCCGATCCAGAAGAGCACACTTTTGCTAGTGGCTTTCCCAGAATTGTCTGGGTTCAAGTTAATCTATCTTTATAAAGTTGTGATTCCTTTAAAAGTATCGAGTTTCCTATTTTTCCCATTTTTCTAGTAGGTCCAATAAAGATACAACACTTAAACAACCTACTAGATCAAGCTAGCGTAGCTCGCCTTTCTTACGAGCCTGCGTCATCGCATACGTTTCCGTTATTCAGAATGCGTCAGTTGTAATGCAGTTA